TATATTAGTCATTTCACGTGTTGCACGTGCGCGCTCTTGCAAGCTCGTGCGCGCAAAATAACCTTCGTTCGGCAAATCTACATAACATGCCTACTGACCCTAAAAAGGTTTCACCTAAGTCGGATGTTTAGTTGACAAGATCACTCGTGGACAAAATTCTCCCAGGAAGAAAAATAATAACTAGTTATGTTCCCCAAACGAAGTTGGGGAACATATTGTTTTTACTCTGTTTCTTATTATGTTCCCCAAACGAAGTTGGGGAACATATTGTTTTTACTCTGTTTCTTATTATTATTATTATTTTTCTTCTTCTTCTTCTTCTTCCTGGGTACTTTTTTGTCCGGGAGTGATCTTGTAAACTGTTGATCCGATGTAGGTAAAACCTTTTTAGGGTCAGTAGAAATGTTATGTAGATTTGCGGAATCAAGGTCATTTTGCGCGCACGTGCTTGCAAGAGCGCGCACGTGCATCAAGTGAAATGACCAATATAATGTATATTGCCTTAACTTTTCTATTTTTTGATGAAATGCTTTGAAACTCATAGTGTAAAGATATATTAGTACTATAGACAAGATGACATGGTCAAAATAGCAAGATCTCACGCGCATGCACGTGCGCTTTGCTCTGATTGGCTGAAACTAAAGTCTCTATATCTTTCTTGTTTTTTGACGAAATCCTTTGAAACTTTGAACATAGCCATGCATAAGGATATCCTATAACAAGGTATATAGCAATTATCATGAAAACACGTGCATGCACGTGCGCTGCAATCTGATTGGCTGAAACTTTAAATTGCTATAACTCCCTTGGTTTTCAACCAAACAGGATAAGATTTGGAACATAGATATATATAATCGACTTCTACAAGAAGGTATGATCACCATGCACAGGCATACACGTGCGTATACGTGCGCTGCAATCTGATTGGCTGAAACTTTAAACAGCCATAACTCCCTTGGTTTTCAACCAAACAGGATGGGATTTGGAACATAGATATATATACTGGACTTCTACAAGAAGGTATGGTCACTATGCACATGCATACAAGTGCGTGTACATGCGCTGCAATCTGATTGGCTGAAACTTTAAACAGGTATAACTCCCTTGGTTTTCAACCAAACGGGGTGGGATTTAGAACATAGATAGATGTAATGGACTTCTACAAGAATGCATGGTCACCATGCTCATGTATGCACGTGCGTGCACGTGAAATGGGTAAAATCAAAAATACACTTGAATGACCGTTTTTTTTTATATACTTTTGGATTATATTGAACATATTAAAATATATAGATTGTGTAGACAATATGATATGGTCATTACGCACATGCATTCACAAGCGCAAGTGTGCAATAATAAAATTTGAATGAACATGGTACACTTCTTGGTAAACGTTGTTAAAGTCTCAAATGCATAGAGTTTGTCTTATTTAATTACGCCTACAGGGAATATGATTATAAAAGGGAGTTGGGGAGCGTTTGGGGAACATCTGTAACGGTCCCCGTTACAATTAGCACTAGTTATTATTATTCTTATTATTATTATTTTTCTTCCTGGGAAAATTTTGTCCGCGAGTGATCTTGTAAACTACACATCCGACTTAGGTGAAACCTTTTTAGGGTAAGAAGGCATGTTATGTAGATTTGCGGAATCAAGGTCATTTCGCGCGCACGTGCTTGCAAGAGCGCGCACGTGCAAAACTTAAAATGACCAATATATAATGGATATAACCGTAACTTCTCTATTTTGTGACGAAATGTTTTGAAACTTATAATGTAAGGATATATTAGTAGTATGCACAAGATGACATGGTCAAAATAGCAAGATCGCACGCGCATGCACGTGTGCTTTGCTCTGATTGGCTGAAACTAAAGTCTCAATATCTTTTTTGTTTTTTGATAAAATCATTTGAAATTTTGAACATAGTCATACATTAGGGAGATCTACAGCCTGTAATATAAGATTTATCATGAAAGCATGTGCATGCACATGTGCTTGCAAGAGCTCGCACGTGCAACACGAGAAATGTCCAATATAATTGATACAGACGTAACTATTAAAATCATTGATGAAATGCTTTGAAACTCATTTTATAAGTATATATTAGTAGTATGCACAAGATGACATGGTCAAAATAGCAAGATCTCACGCGCATGCACGTGTGCTTCGCTCTGATTGGCTGAAACTAAAGTCTCAATATCTTTCTTGTTTCTTGTCATAATCCTTTGAAATTTTGAACATAAACCTACATTATGAAGATCTACAGCATGATATATAAGAATTTTAATGAAAGCATGCGCATGCCCGTGTGCTGAAATCTGATTGGCTGAAACTTTAAATGGCTATATCTACTTTGTTTTTTGACGAAATGCTTTGAAATTTAAAACATTGTCATGCATTAGGACATTCTACAATATGATATAGAAAAAAGTAATGAAATCACGCGCATGCACGTGTGCTGCAATCTGATTGGCTTAAACTTGAAATGGCTATAACTCCCTTGTTTTTCAACCAAACAGAATGGGATTTAGAATATAGATAGATGTAAGGGACTCCTACAAGAAGGTATGGTCATCATGCACGTGCACGCACGTGCATGCATTTGGAACGACTGAAATGAAAAATACACTTGAAAGAGTGATTTTTCATACTTTTGGACTGAATGCTTTGATATATTGTATATTAAAATATATAGATAGTGTACACAAGATGATATGATCATAACGCACATGCATTCACATGCGCACGGGTGCAATGCTAAAATTTGAATATAATTGGTATCCTTCTGAGAAAAACGTTGTTAAAGTTAAAATGCAGAGAGTTTGTCTTATTTAATGAAGCTTACAGGGAATATGGCACCAAAAAGGAGTTGGGGAGCTTTGGGGAACATCTGTAACGGTCCCCGTTACAATTAGCACTAGTTCTAATTGTAATGGGGACCGTTACAGATGTTCCCCAAACGCGCCCCAAATCCCTTTTTGTGCCAATTTCCCTTAGAACATTTTTTTAGTATATGCTCAATATCGCAGGATTTCTTAAAAGAATTTTAAATGCTACAATGATATCAACTTTTTGTCATTTAACGTGTTGCAAGCAAATGCACGTGCATGCACATGAAAGGTGATGATGGCATGTTGTCTTAACACATATATGTTTAAAAATGATAACTTATTTTTTCAAATACATGTACGTTTTTGTCAAAACCTAACAAAACAAACATTAAGTTTAAAAAAAAAAAGCTGAATTATAATGAATAATTAACACAATGAATTTGATTTAATTTAGACATTGAGGTAAAAATGCATTCAACAGGAAACAATCCAATCTACAACCTGCACGATTACTGAATAAGCCTGAATATTCATGCACTTTTTACATCATTCAATCTGTTAAAATACACAAATCTTTCTAAATTTTATAAAAGAAAAATTAATGAAAAAAATGATGTATAACAGACGTATTTCTTAGATAAATATTTTAATTTTACAGATGTATCAGTACATGAAACAACAACGCAACAAACAAGCGGAGCTAGAGGAGGTGCAACCAGCCTGTTGACGACGGGACTTGGATTTTCTTTCCTGCTTCTCAAACTGTACATATAAATATAACCTTCTCAAACTGACTCTAATTAGTTTGAGAACTGCAGTTTTGAAGACTAAGAACTATAAAAAGAAATATAAAGAAAAGGATAGACTTCACGATTTTTGCTAGAAACACATATATATTTTGCGATGTTGAAATGTTTAGAAATCAAATATTTTGAAATTGTATTATTTGCTAACTTGCTCGAAATTGAGTTTAAAACATACTAAACATATAATTTGAAGGAAAGTCTGCTAATTTGTGTCAAATATTCACTTTATCAAAGGCATATTTAAGAATAAAGTAAACTTTGAATATTACATTCGTTTATTATCTTTATTGCCGAGAATCTATGATGACTCTTTCGGAACTCGATTTCGATTTCACAATGTGTACTAAGTAAAGGGATCAAAGAGTAACCTCTTCATTTTCCTACAACCATGAGCTACCTGACGTGTTTAACTGATTAATATTGATCATTGCAAGTGTTGTCGTTGTCAACAGAAATAACTTAGGAAAACTGTACTTTTTCTTTTGAAATTGCAATAGGATTTTTTTTCAGATATTTTTTTTCTCGGTAAAATTGTTTATGAATTTATTACGAGTATTACGAAAAAGAATTATCTTAAACCTGCATAATTTTTCTGTCTTCTGAAAATTATCCAAAGAAAACAAGTTCTTAAAGGGTAACATGAACTTTAAAAAACAAAAAAGTATACAATGTTCGGTGATTACTTGTATGTACTTTCATGATTATCATAATTTACATTTTTATGTGTTCATTGCAACTTTTTATAAATATATATCTTTTTCTTTTATGATGTTGTTTTTGTAACCTAGACAGAAGTTTATGTATTAAGAGAGATAAAAAATCTTTTGAAATTTTAAGTCTCTACACAAAATATAAAGATAATTATAAAGACAGATTATACAATCAGTTAGAAACTTACATATCTTCTTTAAACATCATTAAACTTTTCTGGAGGGTTGTGGAGGGAACACTTGATCTGTCAGCTACGGCGAACGTAAGGATTTCAAAAATAGCATTACATACGTATGTATGAGGGATTTAGTAAGTAAACGATTCTTGTTTATTTTTGAAAAAAGACATTTTGTTTTTTCAAATCAATAAATATGTTCATTGTCTACTCTGAAAAATAAAAATGTAACAGAAAACTTATTTCAAACTGTACAGGACTATTTTAGCAGTATTAAGAAAAGATATATTTCTCCTTGAAGGAAAACCATGAATATGAACAAATAATCAATAATTTTCTTTCTGACATGTTTTGTGTTCGCCAACATTTTCCCTAAAGGTAGATAAAACGACTTAATATAAAGGCTTTTAAGTTAAATGTATACGTAAACTGAATCAGTGAGATCAATAATGTACGGTTTTCGGTATTGTAGGATGTGATGCCCAGTGTTCCCTCTCCAGACCATGCGAGGCAGACGTAGTGGATCATTTAATACGAGCGGATTCTAAAGGACATGTCTGCAGGTACGTCAACTTTTTCACACATAGATAGCTATAGTACATACGATTCTCAAGCTTAAAAACCCTTCAATTTAATATCTCGACCTGCTTTGAAAGACTCTAGAAAATGTCCTGTTTAATATACTGAAAGGAAAAAGAAACGCATAAGAACATAATATGGGAAAATTTTTTGACTATGTGGCCGAAAAATCTGAAAATTGGTCAGATGTGTATTTTGGTTACTTTGCACTAAAATCGCTAGTCAAAACTACTCAACCATGAAATGTATGGTGTCACGTAGGGGAAATGATAAAAAGTCAAAAACACGTGCATGTTGATGATGATAATTTTGTGATAAAATTTTGTAGTGCCATACGATGCAATAGAGTTTTAGACATCATTTTTGCATATTTGCAGTCAGTATAAATTTCTTGCAATCGTGGTATGGCTGACGGAAGCTAATGTGGGTCTAGTAATTGAATTCAATATTGCATAAGTGAATTAAAAGGCAAAAACATGCTGCTGTACAGATTGTTTTCAACTTCTCAAACCCAATAAAAGTTGTTTTTTTTGTTGTCAGAGAGTTAATTTAAATTGTTTCCAACCAACCATGACGGCGATGTTGGCGCGTAACAACGTCACAACAAGAAAGGGATTTTCATCATGCCACCTCGGTTATTGTCAAGGCATTATCACTGAAACTGATATTTATACAGCAGACGATCATACTCATTTTTTTCATCCTAAATTGACAGAAACTTTCTGCTCTAATTTTGGGGGCGAGCTTGGCCAATTTACGTCTATTTTAGTCTCAAACGCGCACGTACGCGTCTTTTGCGTGATTTTTTTTTTAGCATGTTTACACTGGAAAAATTTAGCTAGTGTTTGCCGAGACTTTTTTACAAACATTCACGTGTACCAAACCTACTGGGTTCTGTACATTCTATCCTTAATCAAAAATTCGTATTCGAATGGGCGTGGGGATTTGTTGGCTTTGGAATAATACAGCTTATCTCACTCATTAAGACTACCGTCGGAAGGGTTGAATAATAATGCTCTGAAAAAGATAACTACTTTGGTGAACTCAATGCACAGGAAAATCAAGTTTGTTACTGATGCGAAAGGGAGATTATGAGAATTTTTAGTTTTATTTTTGGGGGGTGTCGACATATTGATATCAATATCTCAGGAATTATCACTCAAAATCACACAAAATTTTGGTAACTTGTTGAATAAAGATGGATTAAAATGTATGATAACAATGGTGGAAAACATATTTGAAATAATCGCTTTAATTTAACTCAAAAGTTTAATTTGCGTTACTTAATCCTTTCAGTATATATAGTATTATCAAAATATTTTGAGGTAATCAAGTCCTAATTAGTATTAATCTTATATATTAAATGCAATAAAAGGTATAATCTTTCATTGGGCGAACCTCAATATAATTGCATAAAAGAAGGTTTATTAATGATCAGAAAAATTCGATTCATTTCATTTATTTCTTGCTTGTTGATTTAAAAAATGACTTTTCAAAATCGTATCCCCTTCCTTCTAATTAATTTTTACTTGCTCTATTTATAGCATTTTTTTATCATTCAATCATTCCTTTTTTTATTAACAGTGTGACAAAATCCAGGATATTTGTGCACAACAACAAATATCTGACTGTAAGACTAACCCACATGCACCTAACGCAATGCTGATTATCATGCAAGCGAAATCGACCATTAATAAGCTAAAGCAAATACGATCAAGGAATGGATATGGTAAGTTTCTTAACACAAGTCTATCCTTAAAAAAACATATTTATATTAGGGTATGGAACACATGGGTCGTCTTTTCACAGCAGAATTAAATATATGATGAATATTTACCATTATATGGTGTGCATTTTGTCATTGTGATACACTTTTGTTATTACATGAGTGATATTTAGAGAACAGTTAACGAGTAATAACTTAATTTATCGTACATCCACATTAGGGCGGGACGAGTTGCGCAGCAACGAGTCTCGGCCAATGTGGATGTACGATAAATTAAGTTATTACGAGTAACTGTTCTATAAATAACTTGTATCATGCATAACTCCGCCTACATTCCTTATATAGCGTTAGTGCAGCGGAAACAAGTTAATATCTAGAAAAGTCTAGAATTTTCTTGATAAACTCCGCCCACCGTCGCAAAGCATTGTGGTATAGCGCAACTCGTGTGCAGACGAACATTTCCAGTATAACAGCGAGAGAAAATGGACGACAAAATCGGCACCATCAATTTTGATGAGATTGACTTTTTAGCAATAACCGAGGATGATTTCACTCTATCACAGATATGTGATGCCATTGAAAAAGAAGAGGAACTGATTGATGGTATGAATCACTTTGACATTAACCCGACAGGCGCGAATGCGCTGAACCTCGATCTGTTTGGAGATTTTAATTTGGACGGCATGGACGGAGGTGCCACCGATAGATTCAGTGAAACGAACAGCGATGAGTCGACCAAGCGTTTCGGGGGAATTTCTGATTCCGAAATTGAGAAGTTGATTTCTAGTCAAGAAAATCAAAATACAAAGAGAAATACTCGTTGGGCATTTGGGGTTTTCGAAAAGTGGCGCCAAGAAAAAAAACAAGAATCTGCCTTTTGAACTTGCAGTACCGGAACTTCTACACATGGATGTTTCTACTATGAGTTATTCATTGACACATTTTGTATGCGACGCACGGAAGAAGGACGGAAGTGAATACCCACCTAAGTCGGTCTACTATCTTGTTTGTGGATTGTTAAGGTATTTGCGAGACAACAAGAGACATGACATTAATTTCTTTTCAGACTTGAAATTTGCAGAGTTTAGAAAAACGCTGGATGCTCAAATGAAATCCCTCTTGTCTAAAGGACTGGGAACTAAAGTCAAACAGGCAGATCCAATAACTCAAGAAGACGAAGAACTGCTTTGGGAAAGAGAAGTACTGGGAAACAAGTCCGCGGAGACGCTACAGTATACAGTGTTTTTTTTACATGTGTAAATTATTCGGGTTGCGGGGATTTGATGAGCATAGAGACTTGACATGTGCAAACGTCACGATTGGTGAGGATGGGCGAGGTAAATACATCCACTTTTGCGGCGGTTCAAACAAGACTTTTAAGGGGGGACCTATGTCGTTCGACGTCAAAGCAGCGTTATGTGACGTCACAATAGCGACGTTTGTTTTTTTTTCCCGCTGACTTTTGCAACTGTGATTATATGCATAACATTGTTCTTAATCAAAAACGTGCACATTTTCAAAAAGAAATTTTTTTCAACATTTAAAACAGTTTTATTTGATTTATGGAGTTTGATAATATCAGAATTCTCTTCCTTTGGTTGATAATTCATAGCAATTTCAGTTGTGAAGAAGTACCTCTATGATATGCTGATATATAAATGCAAAAAATATAAGATAAAATTCAGCAAAGACAGCGGCTTAAATTAGGGAAATATGTTTAATTTTATGATTACCATTAATTGTATTTTCTGGATAAAACTAAGGAAAATAAAGAAATGTACTTGTACCTATATTTACTTATTGATTTATAGTGTATGTAGATTTTATTGTATAAAGTCATTCCTATTAGGTGTTGGTTGTTGACGGGGAGGGGGGGGCAGAATGATTAGAATGAAGAAAAAAAAGAGTATATCTGTTTAAATTATTTCTTATCAAAACAAAATACACGTGTTTTGCAAAATAGTTTTACATTCAGATGTTTGTCAGTGCTAACTTACCTTTTTTTTAGTGCAAAAAGGTCAAAATTTATGACAATAGAGTACGAAAATAAAAGAAAACGTTATATTTCTCGTTTATTTTATCATAAAGGTATACTTTTTTCCTTGTTAAGATAAAGAAAGGGGTAATTTCTTTCAAAAAATATGAATTACCACATTTTCACACAAAGACTTTTTAAGATATAACCTGTTATGCATGTCGGAATTGTAAAAAATACCACAAGAAAAACGGGGTGATACTTACATTGTGCTCCTGTATAATTTTTCATGCGAGATGAATTACAATGAATTTGCCTTCATTTTAAAGATACAAGTCATATAAATTAAATACATGTTGATTTCGAATGTGATTTGACATTTTTGGTTCTTTTTAGCGCATATTTGGAGTAGAACAATAACGTCTGAAAAATAATCTATTTTTAGCATTTCACACTGTTTTTGCACGTGCTCCTGTGTAAAAATAAGCATATAAAGGTATTGTTTTTAATACCTAAAAATTAAGATCAAGTGGTCAGGAAAGAAATGTCAAAGTTTTGAAAATTTCACACAAAGACTTTTCGGACATAGGTCCCCCTTAAGGGAGGACTTGCCCACCCATCTCTGCAAAGTAAAGACATTCGGCACTATTGTCAACCAGGTACGGTATTTTTCCTTTAGATTGATTTTTTTACATTTAAAACTACAAATTGATGAATATAAATTTATTTTTGTTACTTTTTTTTAAAGGAGATCGATGCATAGCCGACTATTTTCATCAGTACCTTGATGCACTTGGAAACGAGGGGGAGTTTTACAGACGTCCAATTGCAGGGAACCCTATTCGATATGGTGCACAAGTTGTTGGTGTTAATAAGATTAAAACCTTCATGAAAATCATCTGCAAAAAGGGGGGTCTCGTTGGAAACTTTACTAACCACAGTGGAAAGCGCACCTGTGCTAGCCAGTTGTACAGCGCTGGAATGGATGAACAGGCGATCATGGAGCGAACCGGACATAGGTCAGAGCGAGCAGTGCGGAAGTACAAACGATCATGTCCAGAGGTAGCAGAGAATGTCAGCAAAATACTTGATCCACCGGCGCCAAAAGCAATGAAAATGGAAACACCGTATGACGAAAATGATAACCAAGAACCTATGTGTGCTGAAAAACGCTGGAAAAAGTCTGTGAGAGTTTGCAGTCTATGGCCTCTAGCAGCAATTCGTCTAAACAAATCGACAACAGGGCAATGGCGGATTTGACCAACAAGTTTCAGTTTGAAAACTGTAAAATTTCGTTCAATTTTTGAGACAAACGCTTGTGACATGGCTTAATGCAGAACAATTTGAAAATTTGGTTTAAATCATACACAGGAAAAATGTCCACATGTGTTAAACATATGTTTGGTTTCACATGTGTTCAACACATGTTTTATACATGTAATACATGCGTGTAAATAAACACATGTAAAATATGTGTTTCATTTATATGTAAAACATATATAATATACACATGTTATACACCTGTGAGATAATATATATGTTAAACACATGTTTTTCACCACACATGTATAACACGTATTATATATATGTAATATATGTGTGCGAAAATACAGATGAATTATACATGTTTAATTTATATAAAATATATGTGTATTCATATACACATGTTATACACATGTTAAGTTTTATCTCATATGTGTGTGTACATTAATTCAAAAGAATTTGTAAATGTTAGTAAAAGTTTACTCATGTAAAGTTTTACTTTGTTTATCCCCCCCCCCCCTTTCCCTTCTAAAAAAAAAAAAGTTTCACAATTTTTTTTCTGTAATAATGCATTTATCAGACAAAATTGATAAAGAATGAATTCATTTTCTTTTCATTTTAAATCTTTTGGGCTTGGCTTACTTCTTGAGTAAAATTAAAATAATTCCGTATTTGTCTCCGGACCGGTTTTGTCTTCTATCGGATGAAAATGTACGTCATTTTTGACGTCACTGCTGCAGCAGACGTCCTGGGTGTATTGGAAAGGTAAGTGATCTCCAAACATTTTTTAAAAGACTTTTAGCCTAATTCATATTGTTAAAATATCATTTCATTATAATTACAGGTGCATGCGTATGAACTTCTATATATTATACATGTAATACTCTTATCATTGTGACTTGTCATGCATTTCGTAAACCTAACGATAGTGATCTGTAAGTAAATTTGGTGAAAAATGTTTCTGACTGAATGTAAGCACGGGCACTGGAAGTTAATGTAAATATATAGTATGTGTATGTATAAAAAAGACCCTTCTTTTTTTATACATACACATACTATATTATTTATATTAACTTCCAGTGCCCGTGAATGTAAGCGGTTACATGTTAGGCTAAAGGCATTACTATTTTTTATAATTTGTATACAGGTATTAAAGTAATTTTGGATAAATTTGTTTCTGAATGAACGTAAACATTACATGTTAGGCTATTTTTAAAGGCATTATTGGTTTTCCTTTTGTTACGTACTGATATGAAAGTGAAAGTAGAAACCTTGAAACCATTGTGACTGTCAGTTGGTGTTTATGTATGTTGAGATGGCTGTCAAGTCGATTCTTTCAACTTAATAACAAGTGTTTGTTTTCATGGCCTATAGATGCATGCAGTAACTTGAGTTCAGTACGTGTCACATTGCTGCGTCTAAAAAGCCCAAAGCTGATAAGACTGGCGATTGATCCTAAAGCTGATTTGACAGAAGACTGCATCTTCACAATATTAAACATGTTAAAGGTAAAAATAAATACTTGCAATAAAAAATCAAAGTAAACATCTGCAATGACTCCTTCATGACAAAATATTTCTTGATACATTGTAATTTCTTTTTGTTCCTTAAATTTATAATTCTACATTATATTGTTTGCACCACTTCATAAATAATAAGTCAACTCAGTACTACAATAATTTTATTCTATATTATAAAACAGTTTTAATCCAGTGCACTTTTAAGATATGGAAAGTATGAATAGAATTTGCTGGCTTTAAAAGCT